CCAAAAGCTCTGTAAATGTTAATTAAAATTAATAAAATAAATTTTTTTTAAAAAAGAAAATTAAGTTCATATTTGACTTCTCTCTCCCTCTGTCCCTAATAGTCCTACCTCATTGACATCAGTTTGATTCTGATTGTAGTAGTACTTGGATTTGATAATTTTGTTTCTCAAATTAAAACCTATAACATCTTCTCATTTAAAGTTTTAGATAAAAGTTATTTTCATGCATATCTTCTTCTGGAGCTTCTAGGATATATTTTGTGTAGACTTCATTAGAAATAAATTTCTATTTACCACACATTAATTTCTATGTCAAGTATTTACATAAACCTTCACAAAACATAAGAATCTTGAAGGGAGGAGTAACCAAGGAGGATATTTAGCCAAGGCATGAGTGAAAACTAGAAATGGTATTTAAATATAGACAAATTGTATAAATAAATCTATAACAGTAAAAAATTCTTCACCTAGGTGAGGATGACTTCCTGTTCTTACCTTTTGCTGAAGCTAAATGACTGGAACCATGCATCTCCAGAAAACTTTCTGAAATTAAAGTTAAATTTAGAGGGGATTGTGAAATAAGGGACATTATTGCTGAAGTCAGATAAGTTCTGGATGAAAGCAGAGAACACCAGAAAGATGATTACTTGTGTTTTAATAACTTAATGTAAAAGCATTCTACTGTGTAGGTTATAATAAATTATCAATAATTTAGTAAAATAGAGATTTCAGACCACTTAATTGCACTTGCTAAAAACTTATTCATCATAGGAGAAGGATGGGCAATCTCTTCTCGAATGATTAAGTGCCTATGCAAACCCACTGGAGGATCAGGGCCAACTCAACAGTATTCAACAATCACAACAACAAAACTTCTTAATAAGCCAAGAAGCAATTGTGCCAACAGAACAAAGGAACACACTGTATGGCTTAAAGCCAGAACAGTGTGTCTCAGGATTACATCTTTCTCCCTACCTATTCAATCTCTATGCTGGGTAAATATTTATAGAAGCTAAGCTATATGAAGAAGAACGTGCTCCAGAATTGGAGGAAGATTTATTAAAAATCTGTAACATACAGATGACACAACACTTTTTGCAGAAAATGAAGAAGATTTGAAGTATTTACAGCTGAAGATCATATATAGACTATAGCCTTCAATATGAATTACATCTTAATATTAAGAAAACAAAGATCCTCACCACTGGAACAATAAACAAAATCATGACACATGGAGAAAAGTTCGTAGTTATCAGCAATTGTGTTTTACTTGGATTCACAATCAATACCTATGGTAGCAGCAGTCAAGAAGTCAAAATATGTACTACATTGGGAAAATCTGCTGTCAAGGACCTACTTAAAGTCCTAAGGAACGAAGATATCAGTTTAAAGACTAAGATGGGCCTGACTCAAGCCATTGTGTTTTCAATTGCTTCCTGATCTTCTGAAAGTTGAAAAACAAATATGAAAAACTGAAGACGAATTTATGTCTTTGAATTGTTATGTTGGAGCAAAGTATTGGACATACCAGGAACTGTCAAAAGAACAGATAGGTATGTCTTGAGAGAAGTGCAACCAGAGTGGTCCTTAGAGATAAGAAGATAATACTTCCTCCCACATACTGTGGACATGTTGTCAGGAAAGACCAGTCTTTGGAAAAAGACATCATATTGGGAAAAATACAGGGCTAAAGAAAGAAAGGAATATTCTCAATGAAATAGATTGACATAGTGACTACAACAATGGACTTGACAATGATGGAGATAATGAAAATTGCACAGGATAAGGCAAGGTTCAGACCTCTTGTTCTTTGTGTTACTGAATCCAAGAGTTTCTTT